TACTCAAACACTTTAACTTGAGTAGATGTTTGACTGAGTAACTTTATTTGTAGTTTAGTAAGATTGGACTACATGTATCACTCAAGTACTACAGCTGAGTACTTCATCCACCACTGACCCTCAGTGACTGAATACTGCAGATAGAAGCAGCTGTTGATGAAAAAAGAACTGAGATGATGTCGGTCTGTTCATCCCAGCAGTCTGAACGTCTGTGACCTCAGGGCTGCTTCTACACGTTTCCCTTCATCGACGTTTTCCAGACTTACGATCGAGAGGAACTTCGATACCCGACGCTTCCTGCAGCAGCAGCAGTAGAAATGACAGGAGAGCCAGGGCTGCTCGCCCACCCTTTCCCAACATTTCTCTCCCTCCAGCTGCTCGCATGTAGTCCTGCCCTCTGCTGATTGCTCAGATGGTTCCTCTGACAGCTTTGAGGAAAGACACAAACACAGACGGTTAGAAAGTCGGAGCAGCGGAGCATGCAACACTTTATGTAGGTCACACAGAGGTGAGCGTGCGACTGGCTTTCAGGTCTGGCCTACATTCACAGCTGAGTCGTTCTGCGTCTCTCCAGAGAAAGCAGCTCAGAAACATGGTGAAGGAGAAGTTACTGTGTTACTGTGTCCAGATTCGTCAGGGAAACCACAACAGACTGGTTTCTTACAATTCCTTTGGAGATAGCTTAGATTAATATTTAGCAATAATATTAATGCACAGAGTGAAGTCAGTAATAAGAATTAAATCTAGTTAGAATCTATAAATGCATAGATTGACTCTCACCGATCTTGCAGGGTCACAGGTTGATGGGGCCGTTAGAGGCAGCGTACCGAGAGTTATTATGATTATTATATGTTCTACTATTATGTCCTTATTATTAAAACATTGATTTTTATATAAAAAAGGTAATTTTCAGTTGATTAGAATAAGAAAGTAAAAGATTTAACAAGAACATTTAATAGATTATTACTCAGACTAATGAGGTCGAGCCTGAGGAGAACTTTTGCTCTCAGGTTTGCCGACGGGTGGGGGGGTTATAAGGGTCAATTGTCCCAGGCTCAGGGCAGAGGGGGGGCTGGCAAAATTGACACGGACTATTAAAAATACAGGTAGAGGTAATTTTTCAGAAAATAGTAGTGAGAAAAATATTTCTTCTGCAACTTTTAAAGTTTGTTTGGCTGCAAACTAAAAATGTCAGGTTTCCAGAAAAAAAGGGAAGATGACGCCAAAGGCTGGAGGGATTTTAGGAGTAAATATTAAAAATAAAGCGAGGATGAGTCAGGAAAAAAAGGAAGTCTTTCATAGAGATAGCAAATGACCTGCCAGCAGATTGACAGCTGGCCTGAAAACATCACACTAAAAACATTAGAATAAATGATAC